AATAAAGCAAGAAAAATAAAGGTATATGGGCTGAAAACAAGTATGCTAAGTAAAATAATTCACTGAAAAATTATATACTGTATGATTCCATTTATATAAATTTCTAGAATATGCAAATTAATCAATAGCGATAGAAAACAGATGAATGGTTGCCTGATTAGTATACAGGGGGAAAAGATTATAAAAAAGCATAAGAAAACTTTTGTGAATGGTGGATATTATTTATAATGCTGATTGTACAGACATTTCCACAGGTATAGATAGTACATACTGTATAAGATGCAACTTTAAATATGTGCTCTTCTTTTTTAAAATATTTATTTTATTTATTTGAAAGACAGAGTTACAGAGAGAGGTAGAGACAGACAGAGGTCTTCCATCCGCTGGTTCACTCCCCAGATGGCCACAACAACTGGAGCTGGACCGATCTGAAACCAGAAGCCAGGAGCTTCTTCTGAGTCTCCCACGTGGGTGCAGAAGCCCAAGCACTTGGGCCATCTTCTACTGCTTTCCCAGACCATAGCAGAGAGCTGGATCGGAAGAGGAGCAGCTGGGACTAGAATCAACACCCATATGAGATGCCGGTGCTTCAGGCCAGGGCTTTAACCCGCTGTGCCACAGCGCCAGCCCCTTAAATATGTGTTCTTTATTGTCCATCTATTATATCTCAAGGGGACCTGAAAGGTGTATCAAACGCAAAAAAAGTTAGGGAGTGAAGTGTATGAGAGCTGTGCTTACTTTTGAAGAGAACAGACTTGTATGCACATTGTGAAAACACGAGCCAGACAGTATTAATAGAAAAGTATGATGTTGTCAAGGTTGCTGGATTAACAAATGAAAATGTAAGCCTCCCAGGTAGGCTTGACTTTCAGATAAACAGTGCAGTATTTTTTAATATAGATATATCCTAAATATTACATGAAACATAACTATATTTGAAAAGAAATTGCTGTGTATCTGAAACCTGGGACATACACTAAACAATTGTTGGGTGTTTATCTGAAACTCCAATTTAACGGACCCTACATTCTGTCTGGAAATCCTAAATGATGCATTATCTATATGATACATCCTTCTAAAAAGGGCGACAGCATGAATTCCACTTATTTTTACTTAGATGGAGATGCTGAACTGTTGTGCTACAGACAAAACCGTACGCCCTGTGTCCTGCAGTGCGTTCTGCCCGGGTGTTGCTCTGGAAGCTGTGTGAAGATACAGACTGCACGCATCCTGTTTGCCACTTTATCCCTAGGGCCTCTCACAATGTTGACTCTCAGTGACTATATGATTAAATGGATAGCTGCCTCTCAGGCCCCAGAAAATTGCAGAGTTGCCCTTTTCACTCCAGCCCTTGCAGCTGGCTCATTCGCTTCTTGGACAGGCCCCAGTTGTGATTCCCTGGCTTGTCTCCTTCGTTTTTGCTGTGTGTGTGTGTCATGTTGCTATTTTGCTTTGTGTGTAACCAACCTACTATTTTTTCCCCAATACCTCACTCTTGTTTTTCCCTTTGGAATTTGGGAGATTGCTCTGAAACTCTGGGGCCCTTAGCCCTGGGGAAATCTAGAAATGCGAAAAACAACACCTAAGAATGCTTAATGAAATAAAGGGCTTGTTTCTTTACAACTAAGGGATTTGGGCATCAGCTTTAGGGAAAAGAGTAGGATGAAAGGAAATTTTTTGTTATATTGCTGGTAGGGAGGGTTTTGGTCTCTATGAATACCTGCATTACAAAAAGTATCCGAACTCTAAATGCATCAGTTTTCTTCCATAAAATTCAAGACTCAAGCAAAGGTTCCTCCCTATAGTTTACTCCCACAAATGAACAGAAGTGATTTCTAGTGAGACAAGGTCAATGTGGAGAAAAATGTCTTATGCTCAGAGGAACTCAGAACTGTAAGAAATCTTAGGAATAACTTAGCTTAACTTATATACTCAGTAACACTACTTTCTGGTTTTGAAGACGAAGGTACTTCAAAAAGTTCATTGAAAATGGGGACCAGTGTTGTGGTAAAATGGGTTAAACCACTGCCTATGATGCCAGCATCCTATATGGGTGCTGGTTCAAGTTCCGGCTGCTCCACTTCCGATCCGGCTCTCTGCTGTGGTCCAGGAAAGCAGATGATGGCCCAAGTCCTTGGGCCCCTGCACCCACGTGGGAGACTCGGGGGATGCTTCTGGCTGCTGGCTTTGGATCGGCTCAACTCTGGCCGTTGCACCCAGTTGGGGAGTGAACCAGCAGATGGAAGACCTCTCTCTCTCTCTCTGCCTCTCTCTTTCTAACTCTTTCAAATAAATAAATAAATCTTTTTTAAAAAATCGTTTTAAAAAAATCATTGAAAATGGAATTAGAAGGCAAACTTATTTTGAATGTTTCTTCTATCCACTGGATCCATCTCCAAATGCTTGCAACAGCCAGAGTTGGGCCAGCTGGAAGCTTGGTGCCCACAAGTTAATTCAGTTCTCCCACATGGGTGGCAGGGACCCAACTGCTTGTCCAAGCAGTTGCTGCCTGCTGTTTCCCAGGGTACACATAAGAAGGAAGCTGGAATTGAAAGTGGAGCTGGGACTCTAACACCAGCATCCCAGGCAGTGGCTTAACCCCTATGCCAAACTGCCCCTCTATTTTGGTGCAAAAAACCCTTGAAATCTATGTATATAATCATGTATGAGGCCCAGAGACTCTCCCTAGACCACATGGTGAATAACTTAAGTTAGCGAAAAGGTACCATTCAATAAAACTCAGGTGTCCTACCCACTTCACCCTCTACAAACCAACAACAGCACTTCATCCATCTCCCTTTCCTGTATCTGAGACCAAAGCGAAGGTTATGGTGACAGAGTGGGAGTCACCTTAATAGTAAAAGTAAACCTGAGAGTGTTTTGGCACAGCTGGTTAAACTGCTGCACCCCATATGCACCCCACATTGGAGTGCCTACCCCGCGTCTGGGAAGGCAAGCAGATGATGGCCCAGATACTTGGGTCCCTGCCACCCATATGAAGACCTGGAAGATCTTGGTTCCTAGGTTCTGCCTGGCCAAGCCCTGGCTGTTGAAGCCATTGAGGGAGTGAATCAGCAGAAGGAAGATCTCTTCCCCTCCCAGTCTCTGTCATTCTGTTTTTCAAGTAAGTAAATAAATTAAAAAAAGTAAATGCAAACGCTTCTCCTGTCAGTAGAGTGGATAAAACCAAGAACCTCACAGAGTTAAGTTTTTCAGCTAAAAATAAAGAACCATGACTTAATTCCTGTGAATTTGAGTAGTCTTACCTGAGGTAATTGTCTTATTTTTTATTAGGTTTTTGAAGATATGATAAACAAATTTCTTAGTATTATTATATTATAATTAAGTTTAAATATTATAAGTAAGTTTCTTAGCAGTCCAGGACAGGGGTGGGGATGGAGGCTACAGGGTGGAGGAGTAGCAAAATCAAGCACATTGTGTTAATATCATCTATATTTTTCCCCTTAACATGTTCCTGGATCTGAGTCCAAACTTGCCTTCATTAAAGTTTCTTGGCCTCTTTGATAGGGGTCTCTTAGGCTGATTCACTTTTCCTCCGTGCTTATGTTTTTGTCACAGGACAGAAAAAAAAAAAAAAACCAACTTGACCTTTTAGAATAAGGAGTTATTTGTGATATTCCAGAAAGCCTAATAAAAATCAGATATTTCCTCATGATAAGATTACCCAGAGATTCACACACACACCAAAAAAAAAAAAGCCATGGGTCCTTACTTTCACGTGGAAACATAAATCTGCGTGATGATTTTTTTGGTTTTATCCATGCTATAGATAGGAGAAACATTTGCATAGCCTTTGATTGCTAAGGTGACCCCAAATTGTCACTGTGCTCTTGGCTTTGAATCCAGATATGGAAAGGGAAATGGCGACAGACTTTTTTGGCTAATAAAAATTGGAAAATAAGCTATTAATAAACGAATGTGCACAACAAGAAATATTTTCAGACACGGGATCCCCAAGTTAAAAAAATAGTAAAAGGTGTCATTGGTGTTGAAGTTGAAAACCACATGACTTTGTGGCATTACTAAATTAAGCAGAGGCTCCTGTGATTTTGAGACACTTCAGGTCACTGCATATCTCTCGCTTGTTTCTATGCTAACCAAATTTTAGAAAGTTCAGAAAATGGTAACAGAGAATTCTGGAGGGCCAGATGAACCCACCCAGCTTTTTTCATGAGATGTAAATGCCTCAGTTTTAAAGCTGTTATGAAGATGATACAACCTTAAATGCTTAGGAGGAGAGTAAAGAGGGGGACATCACATTTGCGAATAGAAAAAGAGTTATGCAGGAATTCATCAACTACTAAAAGTTTTCCTATAGGGATGCGCAAAAACAAAAGGAATCCTGCTGTCAAGCCCAACGCAATACGAATTAGAGCAAAACGCGGCTAAGCAAGCAGAGATACTTACCCCTCCCAAGGGGCGAGGCGGTCTCATGAGGCATCCCGTGCCGTGCCCAACGTTTTGGAGTGCCGACTGCGAGGTGGCACAGATACGGGGAGCGTTAGCATGGACTTTTATTAAGGTGACGCAAGAACTGTCTCTGCAGCCTTTGCGCCCGGACGTGGCAACTCCGCACGCCGCAGGTGGAGGAGCGTGCCTGGGAGAGGGGAGCGAGGACGCAGTGCAGCGCCCTACGACCAGAGGGGTCTTGTCCTGCCTTCCGAAGCTGCATTGCAGCGGGGCGGCCAAGGTTTGGGGGGTACCCAGGCTTAGGGAGCATAAGGGACTCGAAAGACACGGAGGACCACGACCTCCCTTACGGCCCGATTCTGAGGCGCTCGGGGTCTAGCATCCTCCGTGCGGGGGCCGAGCGGCTAGCTGCTACAGCAGCAGCCCTCGCCCGCGCCGAGAGCGGCGGCTGCAATGCTCGGTGCCGTCCGGCGAGGGCCGCTAGGAGCGAGTCCGGCGTGGCGCCGCTCTTGCCGGCCGCGCGTCTCGGTAGCCCCGTCCCGCGCTCGCCGCCGCCGCGGGTGGAGGGCGAGGACGCGGCCGGCGCGCGTGCGCGCTCCCTCGGTGCAGCTAGTCTGCGTGCGTGAGTGGGAGGTGGCAGGCCTCCGGCTCCGGCCTTCGCCGCCGACCGTCCCAGCGCTACGTCTCCGGCCATGAACCGGTTTGGTACCCGGTTGGTGGGAGCCATGGCGACCCCGTCGCCGCCAGCCAAAGTCCGCAGCAACGAGAACCTCGACAAAATTGATATGTCTTTGGGTGAGGGGCCGAGTTGGACCGAGTTGGAGTGGGGGAGGGTGTCGGTGGAAGCAAGTGGCGCGGTTTGTGGGGGAAGGGGCGGTTGGCCGCAGTTGCCGAGCGAGTTTCCTTCCGGGTGGGCGAGACGGCGCTGGGGGCCGCGAGGGCGGCTGGCGTCCCCTAGGCGGAGGCCGTGTCCGAGGCGGGGTGGGAGGGTCGCGGGGTGCGTCCCCTCGTTTTCCCCAGAGGGGCGCCACCGCTCGCGGCTCACCGCGGCTCTTTGTGAGGAAAAGTCCGTGGCGTTCCCTCGAGCGAGTTCGCTGTGGGCGTTATCCCGAGCGAGGGGAAGGGTCCGACGCAGCCATTCTCTTGGGGGCAGCGGGCTGAGAAAGGGCTTTGAGAGCCCGGGTTGGCTCAGGGACCGGTCACGACCCGTGGTCGGATAGAAGGGGTTGGCGGGCTTGGCCATGCCCAGGCCCCAGCCTGGCGCTGGCCGCTCCTGACCGGGGCCACGAGCGGGGCCCGAGCCTGGCAACTGTCAGAGGAGAGCGTGGGGCCAGGACGGCGTCCGATGTGGTGTTAGGCGGTGCGGAGCACAGCACGTTCTCCCCCTACCGGGGCGGCCTCAAAGTTAGCCCTGGAGAAAAAAAGTGAAGCAGAAACTGCGCGAGAGGTCTGTGCGGACCGCAGGGAAGCCGGGCGACGCGCGGGGCGGCGTGCCTTGGTGCTGGTTGTCGAGAAAGGGCGATAGGTGGTGATTCCCTGAAAAAATGCAGACCGCACGCTCCCGAGGTCCTGGCCATGCGTTTGGCTGAGCTGGGCTAAAAGTCGTTCCGTTCTGGTCGGGATTCGAGTTCTGCTTCATGGGCTCGGCCCGCTCTTCCCGGGGCTTTGCGTTTGTCAGGTTTTCAGATATTTGCAAAGCACCTTCGGTTGGATTCTGAGGTGTAACCTTGCTGAGGGCGATTTTTAGCATAATCTCTTTGCCTTGGAAAACTTCTTTTGGATCCTCACTTCTTGCCCTGAGTTTTGTTACTCTTCTGCTATAATTTCTATCTAGACAGTTTTTGTCAAAAGACAAGACTTCTAAGGTTAGAAATCAACTTGTCAATTAAGTATATGGTCGGAATTGGTAGATTTCATTGCGAGTCTTTACTTACTACTGCTAGTCAGTGCCGAGCTCGAGCGAAATGAGCAGTTTTTGAGCTAAGGCCCAGCGATAGTGTAACAATGAATATTTAGTGAGTGCTTGCTGCCTGCCAGACACTGGACTAACCGTTTTAAATTTATTAACTAGGTTTATCCTCAAAATACTTTTTTGAGATTTGTACTCCTAGTGGTAAAGAGTATGGAATCTAGGGTCAGACTGTCTTTGTAGCCACGGGATTGTGGCAAATTACTTCACTGCCTCTTCTGTAAAAAGGTGACAGTGCTTCCCCCATGGACTTGCTGCATTCAATGAATTGATAAGCGTTTATGTAAAGTGCTTAGAACATACACCTAGGTACGTAGCAAGCATTGTATTTTATTTTTACTTATACAGTATAAGCAGATGATTATTATTCTCATTTTGCAGAAACCTGAGGGGTAGAGTAACTTGTGCAAAGTCATAGAAATTAAGCAGGGGAGCCAGGGGTCCAGGATTTGGCTCTAGAGCTCCAAGCTATAGCTGTAGGGAAGTATTAAACATGTATTTTCATAACCAATAGACATCTGACTAATTTTCTAGTTTTGTGGGGTTTGTATGTATTTTGTTTGAGGGGTAGTTCTCTTTGACGAAGAACTGAAGTGCTGTGGAGAGCTAAACTAGAGCTTGTTCTCTTTTCTCTCCCAACAACATACAGCCCTCTATCAGATGCCTTTCTTTTAATAAGACTTTTATGGAGATGTGATGCAGTTATGAGCATCTACTTTAGAAAATTACAAATATTGGCTGGTGCTCACTAGGCTAATCCTCCACCTGCGGCACCGGCACCCCGGGTTTAGTCCCTGATGGGGCACCGAATTCTGTCCCGGTTGCTCCTCTTCCAATCCAGCTCTCTGCTGTGGCCCAGGAAGGCAGTGGAGGATGGCCCAAATGCTTGGGCCCTGCACCCGCATGGGAGACCAGGAGGAAGCACCTGGCTCCTGGCTCCTGATCTGTGCAGCGCGCCGGCCGTAGCAGCCATTTGAGGGGTGAACCAACGGAAAAAAGAAGACCTTTCTCTCTGTCTCTCTCTCTCACTCTCACTGTCTAACTCTGCCTGTCAAAAAAAAAAAAAAGAAAAAGAAAATTACAAATATTGCTACAGAGATTTTAGGACCTGATTTTTTTAGAATTATAATTGTGGCACTATTAGGTTAAATGACTTTATAGAGAATAACAACTTTACTCTTAGCTTGCCTCAAGTCACAGCTCTTTCTTAATTTGAAATGGGTATTATGATACCTGTTTCATAGGATTGTTGTGAGAATTAAATGAATATATATCAGAGCAATGTCTATTAGTACTCAGTTACTTCTATTATGTATATACCTTAGTACTATGAAAAAATCTATGAAGTAGTTTGTTGCAAGGGATTTTTTTCTTCTAATATCCTTTGTATGCATTTTCTTTTAGATTGGCAGGTCTTCTCTGCCATGGTAACTCATTTAATTTGAGGACTTGGCTAATAAAATGTTTAAATTAAACAATTTCATATATAATATGCTTTACTACTTTTAATTTTTAGTTATGTTTAAACCCTGAATCCTATATTTGAAAATTAACCAACATAGGGACAGGCATTGTGGCACAGCAGGTTAAACACCTCCCACCCCCTTTGGAACACCTTCATTGCTTATTAGAGTGCCTGGATTTAAGTCCCACCTCTACTTCCAAGCCAGCTTCCTACACATGCACACCATGGGAATCAGCAGATGATGGCTTCAGTATTTGAGTCCTTGCTATCCATGTGGCATACCCAGGTCTTGGAGGCATTTGGGGAGTGAACCAGCAGATGGAAGATCTCTGTTGGTCTCTTTTTCTCTGTTTTGCTTTACCTTTCAAATAAATAAATTCACATTTTAAAAAATTAACAAGTCAGGGGTTGGCGCTGTGGTACAGCGGGGTAGAACCCTGGCCTGCAACGCCGGCATCCCATATGGGTACTGGTTCAAGTCCTGGCTGCTCCACTTCTGATCCATTTCTCTACTATGACCTGGGAAAGCGGTAGAAGATGGCCCAAGTTATTGGGCCCTTCCACCCGCATGGGAGACCCAGAAGAAGCTTGTGGCTCCTGGCTTTGGATTGGCTCAACTCCAGCTGTTGCAGCCTTTTGGGGAGTGAACCAGTGGGTGGAAGATTCTGTCAAATAAATAAAATCTTTTAAAAATTTTTTAAAAAAATTAACAAGTCATCTCTCAGCTATTTAATAAAGTTAAATATACCTTAAAAATGAACAAAATTAATTAGATTAGTCCCTGCCTCTTTTTCTTTTGGTTTCTTTATTTTTTTTCTTTTTCTTTTTCTTTTCTTTTCTTTTCTTTTCTTTGCTTTTCTTTGCTTTGCTTTGACAGGCAGAGTGGATAGTGAGAGAGAGAGAGACAGAGAGAAAGGTCTTCCTTTTTGCCGTTAGTTCACCCTCCAATGGCCGCCGTGGCCGGCGCGCTGCAACCAGCACATCGCGCTGATCCGAAGGCAGGAGCCAGGTGCTTCCCCTGGTCTCCCATGTGGGTGCAGGGCCCAAGCACTTTGTTTAAAGAAAATGTTTTATAACTGGTTTCTTCCTATTTCCTTTCTGCTCAAGTAAAATTTAACATGTTCATAATTCTGAGACTCACTAAAGCTTTTTATTTTTTTTAAAGAATTGCTTTTGAGTGTCTCTGACTTTATTGTTGTTATAGTTGGAGATTGACTTGCAGAAGCCAATAAAGTACTTGGGGGAGGTTTAAATTTTTCTTTGTTAAGATTTATTTATTTGAAAGGTAAAGTGAGAGAGGGAGAGGCAGAGAGAGAACATCCATCCTTTAATTCACTCCCCAAATGGATTATAGCTCCAGGCCAGAAGCCTGGAACTCCATCTGGATCTCCCACATAGGTGGCAGGGGGCCCAAGTACTTGAACAGTCATCTGTTGCTTTGCCAGGTGCGTTAGCAGGGAGCTGGATTGGAAGTGGAGCAGCTTAGGCTTGAAGCAGCACTCCAATATGGGGTGATAGCATTACCTGGAAAGGCACAATGCCAGCCCCCTAATAGGTATGTTTTATATACCTATTTGTTTAATGTGATTGTGTCATCAAAATTACAGATGGGTGAAGCAGAGCAAAAATATATTGTAAAGGATCTTTATAATCTATTGTATTTCTTTCTCTGACTTCAGAAAAGACTAATTATGAAATTAGCATAGGTTATTTTCATGCTTAGAGTAATTTGGAAAAAAATTGAAGCTGATTACTTTTGTGTAGTTTCTTTGGCTTGTTTTCCTTAAGGGTCATCAAAGAAAAAAAAAATTTTTTTTTTGACAGGCAGAGTGGACAGTGTGAGAGAGAGACAGAGAGAAAGGTCTTCCTTTGCCGTCAGTTCATCCTCCAGTGGCCGCCGCGGCGGGCGCACTGCTCTGATCCGATGGCAGGAGCCAGGTGCTTCTCCTGGTCTCCCATGGGGTGCAGGGCCCAAGCACTTGGGCCATCCTCCACTGCCTTCCCGGGCCACAGCAGAGAGCTGGCCTGGAAGAGGGGCAATTGGGACAGAATCCAGTGCCCCAACCGGGACTAGAACCCAGTGTGCCGGCGCTGCAGTTGGAGGATTAGCCTATTGAGCCGTGGCGCCGCTCATCAAAAAAATTTTTAAGACTTACATTTTATTTACTTGAAAGGCAGAGTTATAGGTGAGAAGAGGGATGGTGGGGGAAATTTTCCACCTGCTGGGTCATTACCCAAATGGCCCCAATGGCTAGGGCTGGTCCAGGACAAAGCTAGGAGCCTGGAACTTCTTGCAGGTCTTCCACATGGGTGCAGGGGCCCAAGCAGTTGGGCCATTCTTCTGCTGCTTTCTCAGGTGCATTAGCAGAGAGCTGGATTGGCAGTAGAACATTTTTCTCCGACTGGTGCCTATATGGCATGCTGGCATTGTAGGTAGATGCTTAACTTGTCACACTACAATGCCAGCCCCTAAAATGGTTCAGGTTAAGACTGTGGAGAGGGGCTGGCATTGTGGCGCAGCGGGTTAACACCTTGGCCTACAGCACTGGCATCCCACATGGGCGCCAAGACCCGGCTGCTCTACTTCCGATCCAGCTCTCTGGTATGGCCTGGGAAAGCAGTAGAAGATGGCCCAGGTCCTTGGGCCCCTGCACCCGCATGGGAGACCTGGAAGAAGCTCCTGGCTCCTGGCTTCGGATCGGCGTAGCTCTGGCCGTTGTGGCCAATTGGGGAGTGAACCAGCGGATGGAAGACACCCCTCTCTCTCTCTCTCTTTCTCTCTCTGCCTTTCCTTCTCTCTCTGTGTAACTCTTGACTTTCAAATAAATAAATAAATCTTAAAAAAAAATAACTGTGGAGAAATTTTTTTAAGTATCGTTGGGCCGGGTTGTGGCACAGTGAGTTAAGCCACCTCCTGCAATGCTGGATCCCATATTGGAGCATCAATTCGAGTCCCAGCTACTACACCTCCAGTCAGGCTCCCTGCTAATGGGCCCGGGAAGGCAGCTTCAGAAGATGGGCCAAGTGCTCGGGCTCCTGCACCCTTGTGGGGTACCCGGATGCATTCCTGGCGCCTGGCCCAGCCTTGATTGTCATGGCTATTTGGGGAGTAAACCAAGGAGAGAAGATCTCTTCCTCTCTGTTTGCTTTTCAAATACACTTTAAAAAAAAAAAAAGATTTATTTATTTATTTATTTGAAGACAGAGTTACAGAGAGGCAGAGAGAGAGAGATAAAGGGGTCTTCCATCCGCTGGTTCACTCCCCAGATAACTGCAACAGCCAGAGCTACACTGATCCGAAGCCAGGCGCTTCTTCCGGGTCTCCCACATGGGTGCAGAGCCCCAGAAATTTGGGCCATCTTCTACTGCTTTCCTAAGCCTTAGCAGAGAGCTGGATTGGAAGTAGAGCAGCTGGGACTAGACCCAGCACCCATATGGGATGCTGGCACTGCAGGTGAAGAGTCCTTGTACATTAGTTACACTTAGTATATGCTTAATAAGTATTAGCTGAATTGAAGTTAATTTAGAAATTTTGTCTATTTTTTGACTACCTATTTTGGTTTTGCTGAAATGCTGTCATCTTTTAAAAATGAAGACTTTAACTGGTTTTTTGCTCATTTACATTTATCAGGAAAAATATGGATAATAGAATTTTCATTAATTGGTAGATCTACTTTGGGCCATTGATTTCAACTTTTCATGCAGAATCTTTCTTCAGAGTGCCAACCAAAGTGGCTGATTTAAACTCTGTCCTTTTTTTTTATTATCATCCTCTTGTATAAGATCTTTCAAAGTAGAAAAGCAGTTAGGGGCATTGGAAATCTATCAACTGATAGACTGAGTAATTGTATCATAAGTTAAAATGGAAAACTATATGGAATTTCCTCCATTACAGATGATATCATCAAATTGAATCGAAAGGAAGGAAAGAAGCAGAATTTCCCAAGACTAAATAGAAGACTCCAGCAGAGTGGTGCTCGACAATTCAGAATGAGAGTACGGTGGGGAATACAACAGAATTCTGGTAAGTTTTGAAGTAAGCTGTAATGAAAAGCTATTATCTGTGACTTCATAGTATACTGTAGCTTATACTTAAAATATGGAGAGAATACATTAGTACTGGCTTTAAATTTTTTTAAAATTTTAGTTCTTCATAGATTCAATACAGTTTGTAGATAAGTTCTAAATGTGATACTCCCTTCCTACCTTCTACACCCTTCTCCCTCCCACCTTCGCTTCCTCTCTCCCTTTCTTTCTTTTTGTAATTTTTGAGATGACATTTTAAATTTACATTTTTTAGAAGATTTATTTTATTTATTTGTTAGGGAGAGTTAGATACAGAGAGATCTTCCATCTGTTGGTTCACTCTCCAGATGGCTGCAGTGGCCGAGGCAAAGCCAAGAGCCAGGAGCTTCCTCCAGATCTCTGATTTGGGTCCAGGGACCCAATCTCTTGGGCCATCCTCTGCTGCTTTCTCAAGTACATTAGCAGGGAGCGGGAATGGACTGGAGCAACCAGGACTCAAGTGGGCGCACACATGAGATGGTGACGTAGGCAGTGGCTTAACCTGCTATGCCACAACCCTGGCCCCATTAGTACTCTTTGTGATTTGTATTCACTGTCAGATTTTTGTTTAGATCTTAAAATCTAATAATAAGCAATGACAATATTTCTTATTCTTTTTTAAAGATTCAACATCTATTTATTTGAAAGAGTTATAGAGAGAGAGGGAGAAAGAGAGAGAGCGATCTTCCATCTGCTAGTTCACCCCTGAGATGGCGTCAGTGGCCAGGACTGAGCCAGGCCAAAGCCGGGAGCTCTCACATAGGAAATAAGGGTCCAAGCACTTGAAACATCCTCTGCTGCTTTTCCCCCATTAGCAGGAAGCCAGTTCAGGAGTGGAACAGCTGGAACTTGAACCGGCACCCATTTGAGATGCTGGCATTACAGGTGGCAGCCTTACTAACTATGCCATAACACTGCCTGCACTGACACAATTTCTTAAAAACATTGAGTCATTTTACTCAGTTTTTAAAAAGTCTAAATTATGTCTAGGGTTTAGAATTGCAAAGGATCTTGCATATCATGAGATCCTGTCTCCTTCCCAATGAGATGCTCCTTTACCAGTTTAATGGATAGCTAAATCTAGCTTACATATGTTCAGTGAGTGAGCATACCATGTGACCTCATGAAGTATCTCATTCAAGTGTTGGAGACAACTGTTTACTAGAAAATCCTCATTTGAGTTAAAGCATCCCTATCTGTCACTTTTGCAAAGTTACAGGAAATAAATTTCCTTTTTTTTTTTTTTTTGACAGGCAGAGTGGACAGTGAGAGAGAGAGACAGAGAGAAAGGTCTTCCTTTGCTGTTGGTTCACCCTCCAATGGCCGCTGTGGCTGGTGTGCTGCGGCCGGGGCACCACGCTGATCCAATGGCAGGAGCCAGGTACTTATCCTGGTCTCCCTTGGGGTGCAGGGCCCAACGACTTGGGCCATCCTTCACTGCACTCCCTGGCCACAGCAGAGAGCTGGCCTGGAAGAGGGGCAACCGGGACAGAATCCGGCGCCCCGACTGGGACTAGAACCCGGTGTGCCGGCGCCGCAAGGCAGAGGATTAGCCTAGTGAGCCGCGATGCCGGCCTAAATTCCCTTTTCTATATGAGAACCTTTAGGTATGTAGAAGTTGTTGTTATGTTCTGTATAGAAAATTACCTCTAGACTCCTCATTTTATCACGCAAACTTTTCTGTTTTGTTAAATTCTTCAAAGGTGATACTTAGAATTGAATGTTTTAGATGTAGTCTGAAGCTCCACATATATAATTACTTTTGGTAATCTGGACATTTATTTATTTATTTATTTTAAAGATTTATTGATTTATTTGAAAGTCAGAGTTACACAGAGAGGAGAGGCAGACAGAGAGAAGTCTTCCATCCACTGGTTCCCTCCCCAGATGGCCGCAATGGCTGGAGCTGCGCCGATCCGAAGCCAGGAGCCAGGAGCTTCTTCCGGGTCTCTCACATGGGTGCAGGGGCCCAAGGACTTTGGCCATCTTCTACTGCTTTCCCAGGCCATAGCAGAGAGCCGGATTGGAAGAGGAGCAACTGGGACTATAACCGGCGCCCATATGGGATGCCGGTGCTTCAGGCCGGGGCGTTAACCCACTATGCCATAGTGCCGGCCCCCTGGACACTTAATTGTAACCATCTTGTTCCAAAATAGATTGAAGACAGTAACTGAACACTATTAATTATATATGATTCATTAGCTTTTCTAGGAGTTATATTAGAATAAACCTTCGTCAAATAAAAAAAGCTTCTTAAAAAAATATAAAATTCTTCAAAAAACTAGCTTCTAAATTGATATTCTGTATGTTGAAAATTATTTTCTAGTGGTTTGAGCATAATTCTGTGTGTAACAGCTAACATACCAGCATGTTCTCAAAATAAGTCTATAACTTAGTTTAGACCTCTAAAAACTTTATTCCCTATAATTTCTTACATAGCTGAACCTAAATGAGTAAATTTCTGTGATAGGTATTTGGCTACAACAAATGAATATAAAATTCCATTGATTTATACTTAAAGATTTCTCACAAATATTATTCAGCATGCTATATTTTATATATAATTTGCTTCAAAATAACTGTTCAAAGTTCATAGAAACCAGAAATATATTCATTAATATTTTAAATATCCAATAAATCCTCTGAACTTTACAAAAGTATGGACAGTTGCAGTTTTTTGCTTCACGAGGTTAATTTCTAATAGAGGCAAGATTGAAAGGGCAGAATGTAAGAAAAGTCAAAAGGAAAATATCGATAGCATTATAGGTCAGGTAGAGATTTTGAGCTGAGAAAATAATAGGTGATTTAATGGATAAGGTAAAATGTGATCTAGTCCATAGGGATTCAGAAAAACTTTCTTTTTATGGGGGTTATGATCTAAGCCTTGAGATAAATGATACCTAAGGCAGTGTAGGATCTCCTAAGATTTGGCTTGTGCTTGTACATTCTCAGCTTACATGTGACAGGAGCTAAAATAGAACAGCTGCTGCTGTTACTGAATGTAGAGAGATATGGGGTTGTCTTAAACTCTGGTTGGCTCAGAAAAGTTTAGATTTCCATATTGAAACTGCAGTGAAGATGTTTGTTTGAGGTAAGAGAGGACAGAGAGCCCTTGGCAGGTGCTCAATATGGTTTTTGATTATTTGATAAATAAAGTCTTTCTAAATCCATGCCTTATATATAATTTAGTCACTCAATACTCCTAGGGAATTCCCAAGACTCAGGGACTCTACAAGACCAAAACTATTTTTTTAAAAACATTTTTATTGTAATATTAAGATGTTAGTTGTGTGTTTAGTCTCATTGTGTCATGAACATACTGTAGACTCTTCTAGATTATACATGATAGGTAATAATTAGATTGGATGTAGAAGCATGTTCTTAGTTCAGGTTGCTCTAATGAAATACTGTGGACTAGACTGTTTATATACAACAAAAATGTTTTTCTCATAGTTTGGAGGCTGAAATTCCAACATCAGGGTGTCATTAAGTTTGGATTTTGGTGAGAGCTTTCTTCCTGGTTGCAGAGTGTGCATTTCTTTTGGTATTCTTACATAGCAGAAAGCGAACTAGAAAGTACTCTGGGGTCCCCTTGGTAGAGGCACTAATCTCATTCATTAGAGTGCCACTCTCATAACTACTTCCCAAAGGTGCCCCCTACAACAATAACATATTGGGGGTAAGTATTACAACATACCAATTTTAGAGAGGGACAGCCACTTAGTTCATAACATGCAGAGCTGAGAATCTAGCCATTTTGTATTAAGTCAGACACAAAAAGATTTGAAAAATGCAAAATCATACCACTCCTCTTACTGGATATTTTTGTGTGTTTGTTTTCAGAAATGTTGTTCATTAATAATGTTGTTTAGCCTACATGTAGTGAGTTTGTTTATTTTTAGTTTCTAGAATGATAAGTATCAATACACATGACCACCCACGGAACAAAACAATCTTTGAACTCTTCAGTAATTTTTAAGAATGTAAAGTGGTCCTAAGACTATAAAGTTTGAGAATTCTGTTCCCATTAGAGGAAGAAGAATCAGGAATGTTTGTATGTTGCTTTGGGAAGGAGCCAGTAAAATAATTACATATATACACTATGAGTGACATATCCCAGAACATCCCTCAAATCTTCACTTTAGTGATCAGGCTGCTGAAATTAGGCAAATGATGTATATGTGAAAGAAATTCATTAGTTGGTCTAGGGATTTAAAAGAAAGATGAAAATTTCTATTTTTTTTATTCATTTTTTTTTTATTTGGAAGTCAAAGTAACAAACAGATCCTCCATCTGCTGGTTCACCTCCCAAATGCCTGCAACAGCCAGGGCTTGTCCAGGTTGAAGCCAGGATGCAGAAACTCGATCTCGGTCCGGCCTTCCAGGGTTTGCATTAGCAGGAATCTGGATTGGAAGGTGGAGGCAGGGCTAAAGCCTAGGTACTCCAATATGGAATGCAAGTGTCCCAAGAGGTGACTTAACCTGTGTGCCACAATTTAATTATAAATTGTGGAACTTTATAAAATAGATAGGTACTCTGGCTGTACTACATTTCCACTAATTTGCAGAAGTAAGGCTTAAAAAAAATTTTTTTTAAGCTCCAGTTGTGATTCTGATACATAACTAGAGTTAAATTGCTACTCCAGTGTAACTGAGAATGTAAAAGAATCTTCATAGAGGTGGTAGTTGAAGTAATGAGAGTGAAGTACTCTGGATAAACGGAAGAAAACTCCAGAAAGGCTAAATAGATGAAAACTAAGAAAAAGAAAAAAAAGATAGCACTGGATTACTTATTTAGTACTACATTTGGCAAATGGTTAAGGCGCTTTTTGAGACTGCCCACATCCCATATCAGAGTGGTCTGATTCAAATCTCAACTATTCCATTTCTCTTCTTTCTTTTAAAGATTTTATTTATTTGAAGGTTTAAAATTGATTTATTTTATAGCAAAGTTACAGA